GCAGCGGCCAGTAGAGTGGCCTGTTCTCTCTCTCATACACACACACCCTTCCCTCGGGCGACTCTGTCTCCACTTACTGACCCCTTTAGGATCCCCGCTAAGCCGTTAAACCGTCACTCGCCTTTCGAGAATGTGAAATATATAGTACATTGGTCAACTCCCCAAAACCAGTAAAAACTAACTTTATGGACCCACGTGACCAGAGAGAGCCAGTTGAGAGCTATCATCTAAGGCCCAGGTGCCTGATCTTTACGATTCAAAACTGGAGATAAAAAACCCTCATCCGTTTTTGACATTAAACTGTCAAAGCTAGCTGCTTTTATAGTTTGGCCCCAATAGCAGAAGGGCTTAAAAATCTCAACACACACACATACACAAACACAGAGGAAAGGCAGGAGATAGCGGTTGATGACCAGATGAAGCCTCCCCCGAGCAGGGGACCTCTCCCCCCCACCTCCCCCCACAGCTCGAGAATTAGAGCCTTGTATGAGAAGCCAGCTCAGCCGATGAGTTTTTAAGTTCAGTTGGTTTTACAGTTGGGGAAATCAGGAGAAGGTTCATCCGGTCCAGCAGTGGCGGAAAAAGGGAGGCCTTTTAGGATGAAAGTGACCAATTTCATCCATATAGTTTTGTGGTCTTTTCAGACTTGGTCGAGCAGAGATGAAAATTGGCCTTGTTGTGTGTGTGTGTGTGTGTGTGTGTGGTGTGTGTGTGTGTGTGTGTGTGTGTGTGTGTGTGTGTGTGTGTGTGTGTGTGTGTGTGTGTGTGTGTGTGTGTGTGTGGCCACTTGTGTGAGTAGTGTGTGTGGTGTGTGTTTGTTTCATGAATCTGGGTTACATGCTTGGTGAGGCATTGACTCCCAGGATGTTGCCGCCCTCAGAAATGTGGGCCTGCGGAAACAGACCACAGGCCTCCGGACGGATGTTGGGTGCGTCTTTACGCATAAGCGACTCCTCTATTTTCCATCTGTAATCCTATCCCCTGTGTGCCTTTGGCAGTCTCAGGTATTTTCACAAGACCAACATGTTCAAAAGAGATTGCTATTGAATACAACATGCACGGAAGAGTACAAGGATGTGAATTTCTGATAAAACTGGATTCGTCCAATGGTCCAGAAACCACATTGGCCTAACCAGGACCAATAACACTATCTTGGGATATTTCTAAGCCACATAGAAGTATAAATACATCTGAGAGTTTGGCTGATGGACACAGATTTGCACATGAAACATATATTATTTTCATAAATCTATAATGGCAACAAGCGCAAATGTGCTCACTTGATTTTACGCAGAACTTAAATAACGCTAAAAACGTTGGTTGGAGTAAATATCAAAGTCTTTGAAGCAAGGTGAGCCATGGCAGATTGGACGGATAGCAGCTACTTTGAATATGGGAAACTTTATTGTAGATTTTTTTTTACTCCAAGTTACAAACAAATACAAAAAGCTCATTGTCGGATTGGCAGAAAGGCTACCATCCTGTAAGGCACAGGACGGTAGCCATCTATCTTTCATGCTCACACACTCACTCACACACGCAAGCACGCATACACACGCATACTGCAAATACAAATAGCCAACTGGACATTTAAAAAATGTCAATATATATCTATATACATCCTTTCAGAAACATGTGTCCAATAATTACAATAATAATACAAATAATATACAGTTACACTTTTTTGAATAATAAAGCTATGTACAACAGGGATTGTTTGTTTTTGGACACACACACACACACACACACACACACACACACACACACACACACACACACACACACACACACACACACACACACACACACACACACACACACACATTGCTTCGTAAAAATAGGAGCACTCACTGACAGAGACTCAAACTAAATGCTATACACACGCTATTGACTGTAAACAACTTACAATAAGAGCTCACATNCTACTACTACTACTACTACTACTACTACTACTACTACACTACTACACACACACACACACACACACACACACACACACACACACACACACACACACACACACACACACACACACATTGCTTCGTAAAAATAGGAGCACTCACTGACAGAGACTCAAACTAAATGCTATACACACGCTATTGACTGTAAACAACTTACAATAAGAGCTCACATGCTAACATCTCTAGGAAGCACATTTTCAAATATTAAACATCACACATAAAACGATATTCAGACATTAAACAACAGGTAGGTAGCAAGGTTGTAAGGTAGGACGTAAGTAGAAATTAGGTAGCATCCTTCATCCTTTCCTTATCTCGACTCCTCTGCTCCGGACAGATTTTATAAACGACAACATACAGGAACACTACGTTTGTGTTTTGTTTTTTTACAAGTACCACAGTCATGTTTACGCGTTAAAACATCAAAGACCGACATGCCGGAGAAATAAAAAGTGCTGCGCTGCTGTACAGTACTAAGTTAATGTGAGGAAGTGTTTTTAAAATCTAGATTTGGAATCTGTTTGTACACGTTTCTTCATCTTCCGCACCATGGATTCTTGTGATTTTTTTCTTCAACTTTCTGTCTGTTTTCCTGCTGTCCTTCTTTTCCCTGGTTGTGTGGATTTTTGATGGCTTCAGTTCTACGGTTGGAAGGCGCTGCCCGCGGTGGCGAGGCTCATGCTTTTCAGTTTGTTGTCCTTCTTCCATTTCATCCTCCGGTTCTGGAACCAGATCTTGATCTGCCGCTCCGTGAGGCAGAGCGCGTGCGCGATCTCGATGCGTCGCCGCCGCGTGAGGTACCGGTTGAAGTGGAACTCCTTCTCCAGCTCGAGCGTCTGGTAGCGCGTGTACGCCGTCCGCGCTCGTTTCCCGTCCGGGCCTGTCATATCTGAGGGTTTGGAGTGAACAAAAGGGTGTTAGAGGGCCGCGTTTGGACGCACCATAAACGGTTACCATTTAGAAATGGAAACTGACAGTGCGTGGACAAAATACCAGGAACACCTTTCAATACACTATAGTACACCCAAGTATAAAATAATACTAATAATGCCCAAAAAACACAATCTTGGCCGCCGTAAAGCTCAGTCCCTATAGTGCAGAGGAGAGACCCGGGTTCGAGTCCGAACCAGCATCATTTACGCATGTCATCCCCTCTGTCTCGCATTTTCAGCTCTGTCTCTCCAATAAAGGCACTTTAAATATATTGAAAAATACCTGTTGGCACAGCTCTGACGCAGCATTAGCCTTCACAAAGATCATGTTTTCTACATGTGTGTTGTATTGGCCTGTGCTGCATTGCAGCTACAGGTGTTAATATGATTGTTTCTCTCCCCTATACACGATACAACAGGCTGATTTAACCCACAGTTGTATAACAATGAACGTGCGTAAAAGGCACAACAACTGTGCGTAACATTGTCATTCTCGACACAAGTCTTTCTCGACACATTTTATTTCAGTAATTTCCACTCCACAGCCTGTGCTGAGAGATTTGCTTTTATTTGTCACATTACTGTTTTCTTTTCTCCATCACCCTCTCTGCCCCCTTTGTACTCCCTCTAGCTCCCTTCGGGGTTTTATAGCCCCGTCCTCTGTCTCACCTCCCTAATAAAGTTCCCACACGTAATAAAGCTTCACTTTTCAAAGGAGCAACTGTCTGCAAAGCCTTCCTGGCCTCTCTTTCTATTTCTCCCCCTTTCTTTCTATTCCCACCCGGCTGTGTCTGCGCTCCTCAGCCGGTCAGGCTTTGCTGCCCGGCTCGCCTCTCCCCTGGCAGATTTATGACGCTTTTGTGGAATTTGCTCAAATAAAAAAAGAGGGAGAAAACACACAGGGGCAACCATCCGGGGTCCCTAGCTTGGACAGGAGGGAAATGCTAAACGAATTTCACCCTGATAACCTGATACACAACTTCAGACGGTTAACCAGAGGCTGCCCTGTTAAGGTGATTTCCAAATAAGTCCAACAACATACTGACAAATCCTCTCTGATGACACCAAACTAAAAAGACAGCTTGTGCTTTACTCACGGTTCTAACCCCTTACTGACAGTCACATTATTGTATTCAATTGACGCAGTGCTAAAGGCTTTGTGCGTTGCAGGAAAAGAAGGGAACCGTAGCTAAACAACCAACTGCCAATGTACTCAAATCAAAGCAGCAATAAGTCTATTAGCCCAACATTATGAATAGTATCGCCCTATGTTATACAGATAATGGGCTGTAAACACAAGAGCGGCATGTACCATGGTTTATGTGCAGCTTTCTCATCCAGGGGAATATTTGCGGAGGCGCCTCGCTGCCTGCCGTGCTGCCAGCGGCTGCTCCCCCCGGGCCGCCCTCCTGCCTCTGCCCGCTCCTGGGTGGCGGGTTGCCGTGGCCGGGCTGCAGCTCGTCGGTCTCTGAAGCGTCGTCCAGCTCCGTGAATTGCTGCGCCGTGCCGCCGCCGCCGCCACCGGAGGAGGAGGATGTGGAGGACAGGTTTGGAGAGCTCAAAATTCCGCTTCCTGGTTGCTCCGAATGGGGAGACGAGCTCCTGGCGCCGAGTTTGTTGTCTCCACTGCCGGGTGACAGGAGGGATTCTCCCGCGGAAGCGAGGGAGCAGCTGGACTGCTGCCTGAAGCCTGTCTCCGGGGCCGGGGAGCCGAAGCCCCGGGAGTCCCCGAAGTGTCCTCCGGTGCTGGCGGAGCCACCGCTGCTCCCCCCTCCCCGGTTGGTGACGGTCAGGTCCATGCCATTGTAGCTGTAGCCGTAAGAGCCCGGTGCATGGTGCATGTTGGTGGAGGAAGAGTCCCTGTACGTCCCGCCGTTCATTGCGCCGCTGCCGGCTCCATAATTTAGCAGTTGATAGTCGGGGCCATTTGGGTAGCGCCCCGAGAACGAGTTTACAAAGTAAGAGCTCATTTAGGTTGTTTTAGAGAGTTGCAGGCTTACAGCTGAGTGCTAAGGGGCGCTTGATTTGTTGGATTTCTCTTGGTCGTTATAACGCGAGTACTTTCAACGATTTATGATGTATTAGTGAATTATGGCGTTGCACTGTACTTCGTTTTTAGCTATGTATGCGCCGTCCAAATATGGGGGTGGGGTGGTGTGTGTGTTGGATTGAGGGGTGTGTGTGTGAGCGTGAGTGTGTGTGTGGTGGGGGAGGTGAGGGGTGAGGTGAAGGAGGAGAGAGAGAGAGAGAGAGAGAGAGAGAGAGAGAGAGAGAGAGAGAGAGAGAGAGAGAGAGAGAGAGAGAGAGAGAGAGAGAGAGGAGAGGAGGAGGAGTAGTAGAGTACGAGAGAGAGAGAGAGAGA